GTCAGCTAGTTCTTGGTGGATGATAATCTTTCCTACTAAGTCATGGCGTTCTTTACATAAATCAGGTTTGAGGATCTTTAACAATAAATTTCAGATAATTATTTTGTTGGAATAAACCGATCCTCAATGGCAAGTAGGAAACATCTTTCCTGATGTCAACCAATAGTTCGACGCTATTTTATCGATATATTCTTAGCTGATCTCATTGAGCATGTCGCCCATGCAAAGGTTTACTCATCCAGGTGCGCATTTTTTCTTGCTTAGTCAGATGATTTATGCCCTTTTCCTATTCCCTCAGTTTAAGCGGCATTGTATCGTTTACTGCGGAAATTGCTCGATGTAAAGCAGACGTCTCAGCCTGTACCTGAAAATAAGTCCTTAAATTTCATCATCATCATCTTGGTGCTACAGCCCTTAGAGCGCCTCGACCTTCTCAAGCTTTTACGCCATTCTGTTTTGTCCCTTGCTTGCATTTTCCAGTTGCCGACTCCGATCTTCTCCGCATCTTGTGTTACCCCATCCATCCACCTTAGCTTTGGTCTACCCCGTCTTCTCATTCCCACAGGTAGTCCTTAAATTTATCAATATGTTTATCCAGTTGCTCACCTATGTCCATAAGTGAGAGCGCCCACCAAACTGACGTGGCACGTGGCAAGTAGCAGGTAGCACGCGTCTAGCATGTTACTTAAAATATAACCAATGAAAACGAATGATTCAGCGCACACCAAAATGGCAGTGACGTCATTCGATCTAATCATTCGTTTGCATTGGTTGCATTTGATGTAACATGCTAGACGCGTGCTACTTGCTACTTGCCACGTGCCACGCCACTTTGGTGGGCGCTCTCCCTAAGTCTTCTTTCTCCTAGAAAGTTATAGTTATTATTATATTATAATCTATATATCCCTAATATCTTATTTATCTAAGTCATTTTAATATTCCTTGATGATATTAAACAATAAATTTTATTTATCTTTCCTTTTATTACGAATTTCTTTCTTGTCAATTTATCGAATGGCATAATAACCTTAATGCCAGTTCTTATATCGTAAACCCTATAAACGTAACACATTGAGAAATCTGACCAAAATTCGGTTGGATGGGCAATCGCTTCTCTAATATAGTATCCAACCCCAAAGATATCAGACGCACACCATCCCAGGAGTAAAGAACAAAATTGGAAAAGTATTTTCATATGCGTGAGCTGCTTGGCTAAAAAACAAAAACCACATTAAGGCCAGATTGTTTCGCCTTTTTATGACACCATCAGGGATTTGATTTCATCTGCTAATGTGTGTACCCACTTTCCCTCGGTTTAATATTCATATTTCCGCTTGGCTATACTGTCTACGGAAAAAGGGGAAATTTGTAGAATTGTTGGATCCTATTAGGATAACACGGGGACTTCAATTTTAACGGGACGGAATTGGGACTGAAACTTTTGATTTAATATTACTGCTGTGTATTAAACGTTGTTTAAAAATTATAATTTACAATAACCTTAGAGAAATTGTGTATGCTTGATGTGTATACAAGTGTATAAAGTGTATACAAGTTTTAAATTTATTATGAATTTTAAGACATAAAGATATCTATAACGAGGTCAGAGTGAACATAATAAACCATGTTATTATTGACGCTTAGCACAAATTAGATGTAATAAATGCAGCAGACGGGAGGCAATGTAGACACGAACCGCTAACTAGGTAGTGGAGAGTATTATAAGAGCCAGAATTTAAAATAAGTCTTAAAAAAAGAAACTGTCATTACCATCAACCTATATGCGTCCACTGCTGAATATAGGTCTCTCTCAGCTCTTTCTCTTTCAGTATCTGTCTTGTGCGGCTTGCATTCAGGTATTGCTAATAAGCTTTAGGTCGTCAGTCCATCTAGTTGGTGGGCATGCTCTGCTCCATATTGCTTCTTGCCTTGGTCTCTACTCTAAAATACGTTTTGTCCATTGGTGCTGCATATAACACTGCAAGAAATACCAGGAGATGGCCTATAGTAGTTTTCTATGTGATGCTCAATATTGCAGATATTAATGCAAATGTCATTTTTCATTGCAACACTCCCGACAATGTAAATAGCACAAATATTTTTTTTTACAAAGTTTAGCTAAACAATTAGTTGACAACCGCCTTCGTGTTCATGTTATACTTTTTTGTTTGCCATCATCAATTAAATTAAGAATTACAGAAATGGTTGAATCTAAAGATCCACTACCGCCACTAGCTGGTACTGTCAACGCTACTTAAGTTGGCGAGGTGCACAAACCCAAAGTTTAAATCCTCTTAGGGCGAATAAGGTGGTTGTCATCAGTCTCCTTCCAGTAGTCAGGTGCGTAACACAAAAGTAAAGTGCCGCTATTATTTTTCAGACTTTTTATGATTTTGGATAGTGAAGTGTGTTTGTGGCAGTTTCTTTAAATGATGACGTTAGAAAGTAATATAAATACTAATTCTGTTATTGTGTAAAATTCTGTAAAATTGTTCAATCAGGCTATGGAAGACATATTTAAAAAATTAGAATGGGATACATACGGAATAAGAATGAATGGTGAGCTCTTGAACCACTTGAGATATGAAGACGATATAGTCCTGATAACAGATAAGAAGGAAGAGTTACAGAAGATGGTTAAGGAACTAGATAGAAAAGCGACAGAGGTAGGTCTAGAGATAAACTATAGTAAAACCAAGACTATGACAAACCAAGAAGAGTAATTAGCAATAGTAGTCAAACAGAATACATATACCTAGGACAGATAATAAAGCTGAACAGGGACAATCAAACAGAAGAAATAAAAAGAAGAACTAGACACAAACATGGACTTTCACAAAAGAGATCATCGACAGGATATCCAAAACACAAAGAGCAATGGAAAGACAGATGCTGGGTATCGGTCTTAAACACAGGAAAAGGTCGAAAGAGATCGGTCTTAAAAAGGTGAACGATGAAAAGAAAAGAAAAAGAGGAAGACCACAGATGAGATGGACTGACGACCTTAAGAGAACGGCAGGAAAGGACTGGATGCAGATCGCCCAAAATAAAGACCAATGGAGATTAACAGGGTAGGCCTATGCCCAAGAGTTGGCGTTTAAGGCTGATTAGATAGATAGATTAGCACATGAATATATTGTGTACTGTCTTTCGGTATGGCAGTAAATATAGACTTTTTTATACTTACACACTAGATAAAATGAATCACTATAGTTACTTTTACAGGAATTTCCATCAGAACAATCGAAAGGATAACAAGAGAGGCAAAACGTTTTTTGAAAAATACCAACAGCCTAGCAACGGTAGTTCATTTTATTTTGTCAAAAGGATTTTTTAGTCTCATACTTGCTATTTCAATATGCGGACTCACAGTCCGCCGCGTGTACTGATTTAACTTTTTTAGGCTCGATATTGAAAGGTTAAGGGTTGAAAAAAAAATAACCACAAGAGGAAAAAACCTACTTCCTTTATGGGCAATGTAACACGTTATTCCTACGTCAGTAATAAAGTTTGTATTTATACTGCAAAAATATACCACAACTTTTCTGTCTTATTTTTATGGAGAGACACTTCCTAGTCATCTCGTTTTATTAAATATAAATAATTTCGTATTAAGTTACATCAAAACCAAAAACTTTAATCCGATAAAAACATCAAACTCAAATATTTCTTTCAGATATAAAAAAAATCAAGTAATATTTTTGCTTCTTTGTATCGAATATAAAACACTTCTCTCTATACTACAGATCCAGCACAAAATAAAATCGCGTTATAGTGTTTATATAAAAATTTCTCCTTTTTCTTGGCACAGAACGAGAGCTAACTAAAGTTAAATTACACATGTAAGAATTCTTTATCAAGGAAAAACGTTTTTGGAGAAGTTGCCAAAAATTTAGTTGTACTCTTAGTATTGACTTGGAAGCCTTTTCACGAAATCAATGGATGTTTATTGGCAAGACAATACACCATTTTTATGCAGAGATAGTCAACCGAAAATTTAGATTTTATTCGAAACACAGCAGTATAGAAAGAAATCAAAGATATATAAATATAGACTGTTATATTTGGAAGATTAAAGGTATTAGTTTTATTAAAGGAACTAATTCGTATTAGAATATAATTTGTCATAAAGATTTGATATAAGGTTGAATGCTCGAATAAATGACCTTTGATTAAATTAAAGACAGATATCGATCAGAGCTAATTAACTAAATCTTGCCCAAGTACTTTCGCTCCTAGAGCATCCTTAGGGGCATTTACATTACATACTCTCCAGCTACATTATGGTCGGCATCAGGAGAAAGAAATGTTTTCAGATTTTCAGAATTTGAAAAGTTTTGTTTACAAAAGTTTGCAATTTTTTGCGGTTCAAGATCAGTTCCATTTTAGGCAAGATTCTAAAAGACAGCTTTAAGTTTATTTGAGTTGTAAGGGTGGGGAACCGTCCTTCATAGGATCCAAAATCATACAGACCTATTAACCTAACTTTACTTTCTACAAAAAGTATGAAAAATATATGAGGGTAATAATGAAACAATTTTTGCAGATCTTATTTTAAAAACATTATCCGTTAAGCTTCAAACAACACACGCCATAGCAACTAGATAATATTAACTGGGAGAGATGATAGGTAGATAAATATGGCAATGTTGTCAAATTTCAATGCAAATAAATTTATTTCTTTATAGTTTCTGAAAATCTTAATATTTCAGACTTTTGTGAAAGAAGCGAATCACGAAGAAAAAGTTGACTAAACAGTTCCGAATCATAGTCGTGATTCGACTAGCAGTAGTTCGTCTAGTGACTCGTCAACCAGCTCATTAAGTAGTAGTTCTTTCAGTGAAGGTAATGTCATGTATTCAATTATGGTTCATTTCAATGTAATCAAAAGCATTTCATTTTTTTCACCTAATTCTAGTAATATTCTATTCAATATAATCAAAAGCATTTCATTTGTTTACCTAATTCTGATAATATTCTAATCATAATTTTCTTTACAGATACCGACGACTCCGTGAAAGACCCAGACTATGAAGATTTAGCACTAAAACATCGTAATCGAAGAAATGCTTCATGTTCTGACGAAGAAGATTTATCTGTTAGCACAATAAATCAAGCCAATATTTTATGTGAAAGTGTGAATCTGCTACCTAGGGAAGACTATGAAATGATACCTAATAACCTTATACCAATACAAAGTGAACCGTCTGATAAAGAAAATATAAGCGTCTCTCATCAGAAGTTAATAAATCCAGATTGTAGTCCAAATAAAGTAAGAAAAAACTAAGACAAGAAGATAATTGGCAAAAAAATGTAGTAAAGAAACTAAGAAATAGTGGAAAATCTTATCAAATACTAAAGGCAAAGAAAACCATTTCAGAACGTACATTTAAACCATCTTGCAGACAAAAATGTGCTTTCAAATGTCGGTCAAATATCACAGAGGAGCGACGTTTGCAATTATTTAAAGAATACTGGGATTTAGGAAACATCTACAAACAGTGGTCATTTAATTAATATTTAAATGGGAATATGCCATAATCAAAGGTTAAAATACGTTTATTGACGTTTCAATTTCCACTTCGGAAAACGTTCTCAAAATACAAACATTGTTTGAATCGGTACATGTGTTTACAAATACCTTAAGAAAGTTTCAGAAACATTCAACAATTTGGACGTTGTGTAGTGTTGTGATGATTGTGCAGGCCAGCAAAAAAATTAATTTATGATCTGTATGTATCTATACGCAATAAAAACAATTAAAAATCTTATCTCAGTAACGCATAAATATATGATAAAAGGGCATACCCAAAACGAGGGAGATTCTGCTCATTCTCAAATTGAGAGAGAAATTAAACGTCCATTAGGATCCGGCCCTATGTATATACCTGACGCATTTATTGTGCCGTAGGCTGAAGAGAAAGCAAGCTCCATGTTAATGAAATCTGTTTCGCCGATTTTTTTGACTTCAAGAGTTTATGCAATCAAATGAACTTTTCTTTGCTGAAAGATAAAAATAATGAGACAGTAAAACTAGCAGGCTTAAAGGTGATTCAACTTAAAAAAAGCGAACCAGATACTATATTTTTTAAAAATTCATACGCTGACAAACAATTTCAGAAAGCTGTAGTCATTAATAAAAAGAAAAAAAGCAACAATTTGGAATTGAGAGATGCATACAGCGCAAAAACCAGGTAGGTCATGCCCGATAGAGAAAAAAGTAGAGACCGACCGAATGTGATTTTTTTTGGCCGAAGCCGAAGCCGATGCCGAAGTTCGGCCTGAAGGATACCTTCGGCCGAAGCCGAAGCCGAAGGTGACTAAAAATATACCTATTACCTATTATATGTTAATAATTTAAATAATGTGCATTATATTTTTATTAACTGATAAGTGATAAACAAAAATATAAAATTATGAGATAAAAAAGTCAAATATTTATACATTATTTGGTAATAGAAGCGATAATAAAAATAAATAACATTAAAAAACATTAAAGCAAGTGAGTATTTATGATTACTGGATCTGGTAGTTAATATTCGAAATCAAACATCCTAATATTATACGTAAGAAAAAGAAGCTTGTCAGCGTTTTCTCCCAACAAATTAGTTCTTCTGTCAGCGTATAGTTGCCCAGCAGAGCTGAATAACTGCTCACTAGGTACACTCGTTGGTGGTGCCGATAGAAATTTTTTTGGCTGCAGTTTTTAAAGAAATATAGGGACTTGATTCCCAATAATGAAATATGTCGGCACTTCTTAAAAGCAAAGCCTCTCGTAAATACGAATCTAGGTAATCTGCATTGGGATCGTTGTCGTTATGAATTTCTTTTGTTGTATCTAGAACGGCTGTGACAAAAGTATCATGTGAATTCCAAAGACTATTGTTTTCTAGATCTTCTACATGTGTAGTTGTAGATGATGATGTTGAAGCGATAGCCATAGGAACTTTATTTGTATAACTAAACTTAGAGCTATCAGATTCACGTAGAAATTTTAAAATTCTTGCTTTTACATGTAATTACTTCCTCGTCTGTCAAATATTTTGATTTAAAGCGAGGATCTAGAAGAGTCGCAATTGACAATTCTGGCAAATTTGTAATATTAGCGAATCTTTTAATTAATGATTCACGAAGTCGTAGCTTTAATAAACTTATCTCCTCAGAGTCCTGCTCTTTCGCAGAAACTTTACCATTTAGCATTTTTATTAGTGGGATAACCAATGATACACAAGCAGAATCGGCTGAAAGATCTAGCGTCGCTTGGTAAAAACAAGTTAAAACTGAAATTAAATTGTTGATCAATTCCCATTCTGTTGAACTGGGAACTTCAATACCACCACGTTCAGCCATATACAAATTTATTGCAACTTTCTGTTCGAATAGCCGCTCCAACATTAGGTAAGTGCTATTCCATCTTGTTTCCACATCCTGAATTAACATATGCTGTGGCAAATTGCAAGTTTGTTGAAACTGCCTCAGGTACCTGCACGCTTGTTCACTCCTTTTAAAATGTCCCACAATTTTACGACATTTTTTAATTGTGTTTTCAATTAATTCCTGTTTTAATAAAGAATCATGAATTACAAGTTGTAATGAGTGAACCACACATCTTAGAGATGTAAATTGTGTAATACGAATAGCCGCGACCATATTTGCTGCGTTATCAGTTACAGCTATATGAATTTTGTTTTCTATTTTAAAATTTTTAATTATTTCATTAAGTTTACTTGCAATAAACATACTAGTGTGGTCATCATTAAGCACACTAGCGCCTAATATAACTTTAAGACGTTTTGAACCATGAACAAAGTGAGCTGTAAAACTCAAAAGAGAACAGGTTTTAGCAGGATTGCTCCAAATATCTGACGTAAAGCTTATCCATTCGGCTTTAGAAACTAAATTTGATACTTTTTTCCAAACTCTGTCATAGGTAGCTGGCATTAAACTAGTTCTAAAAAACTTTTCCGTTTTTTTTTCTGTATTTGGAAGTAACATTAGGATCTCCAAAATTTAAACGCTGAAAAGCTTCTCCTTCAACGATAGAGTATGGTAACATGTCGACAATAATAAGGTCCATGATACCCTTATCAATCCTAGATGATATCGGATGATCATCAGGCCATAGAGCAGGTGACTTAAGTTCCATTATTTGATGTAGGTTGGGCTGAAATGTCCTGGAAACTGGTTGTGTAACATCATGTGGAGTTTTCATATGTTCCAATTTTCGAACTTTTATTCCCATTTCAATGTCACAAAATGATTTCCATTCTTCTGTATGGATTTTTTGTAGATGATTTTTAATGTTTGTAATAGTTTGTTTTTTAGGTATTAAACTGCCAAGCGATAATGACTTTGAACATAGTTTGCATGCAGCTTTGTTGCCACTTTTTTCAAAATAATCCCAAATTGGATTTTTTATTGACATTATCTAAAAAACGTTTGAATTTACTAAAATTATATTAAAATAAAAATTACAGACTTACCAAAAGTTATTTTTACAACACTAGAACAAAAACCTGAACTGATTTTGCAACGTAAATTATAATATATATATTTCACGGGTAAATAAGTACTATTAGCAAAGCTGCACCCACGAGAGAATAAACTTAAACTGTTGTAAAATATTTAATATTTGCATTCATAGTCGATGGTCGATGTTTTGCCATTTAGGTATCTATTCAAAACACCAGTAATCGTGAGTTTTAACAAATACAATAAAATTATTATCATAATTTTACTACGTGAGAAATATTCAAATGAAGATCTTTAAGACATCTTGGCCTATTGTTAAAATTTATATCCTACCTACTATTACCTGACCTGAAAGTTTGTAAAACGTTTTAGTTGAGGGTAGAAAATAGTGTGTAAATATTATTCAAATTATCAAAGACTCGCCGAAGCGTATTGTTCAGAGATTATTTCATTCTTCGATAACGTTCAGAGATAATTGAAGTATAAGAATTTAAATATTTGGCCGAAGTGGGCCGAAGCCGATGCCAGAAGTGTCGGTCCTCTAGAAAAAAGCGGATCTCATGGATTTGGTTCCCTGAAATAAAAACCTGATTCCAAGATATCAAAGACCATTTTATGAATCATTGTAGTTTTAAAAGTCACGTATTATTGCTTGTTTTGACAAAGACAATATTTTAAGTGTTACATTTTCGTAATTTAATAACATTAGTTCGTTTAGAATTTAAGCGTTTACACATTATTAAGTACCTTTAAGAAATAGTTTTAATTTAAGAATTATTGCACTTTAAATTGCCTTGTAATTCTAATATTGGTGTTATAGTTACACTTTTTCAATAAAGAACATATTCTCAAATCTAAAATCTTTTATTTCGCAACGTTTGTTATTGTATAACTCAATAACAAAAAAATATCATCAACAACGTGATAAGTCAGTTTGTAACATTCATCTTATTACATTTTTGCAGGAAAAGTGTGACATATTATCACCTTTTTCGTAAATATGCAAATTTTTTGCTAAATTTATTACATCATCAGGCCCATCTAACATTTTCAGAGACGTAATTAGTTAACACTTATAGTAAATATTAGATGGACTATAAAAATGCATTCCTTTGGATACAATAATTTTTTGTAAGTTAAAAAGGAGGCTCCTGTAAAATTGTACTTTTTAACTTAACACCTTATTGAAGCAAAGAGGCGAAAAGTTCAAGAAATCCATTAAACATTTTTTTTATTTATTTTTTTTTGTTTTGTTAAACGGCACTTGAAGAGATCTTCATAATTAATGTATTATAATTTTTACTTCTACAAAAGCTGCAGCCTCATAAGACACTTTTTTAAAAGCTTACTATCATCCAACTGTATTTTTCACGAGCGCTTCGTCCCTTTTTTCGAACGCAATGCCCGGATTTTCGGAGATAGTTTAGATATTCATTCCATCGTTTCCCTTTTATTCCTCATAACCTTGTCCTTATCTTTGATTCAACGTATGTAAGACGCAAAACCTCGGATGGGGGAGTTTTATTGCCCGAAACACTGCGGAAACTCTCTCTTCCAACAACACAACATATCCGCAATATCATAAACGCGTAAGAGACAAAATAACTTACTGGTAACATAAAATTTGAGAGCCTGTAAAGAAGGTACCTCAGTTCCATTTCGGAGCATTCCTTTTTTTTTGAAGTATATCGTTAAATTTAATTTTTGGTGTTGAAAGCTGTGCTTTACTTGCCCGTAGCATTTTTCTCATATCATCAGAGATAAAACGAACTTTATTGTACAAAACACTTAACGAATTTTAAAAAAGTCAGCGTT